AAAAACAATGGATATAATTTCTATTTTTGATTAAACTACCCCACCCATAAATCCACACTTAAATTTAAAAAAAACCACAAACAATGGAGGCCAAATCTGAAATCCACCAGAAGAGTTTCCAGATGTTGATGCTGACGATCCAAACCTTTTGGATTATAAGTGGAGACGTTTTTACCAATTTGCTCCAGGGAGGTGGCACCCTGCCTCGGAGGTCGTGGTTTTAAGTATTCATTGACGGGAAAGTGAAAAGTAAACGGTGAAACTTGTGGAAACGCGAGGAGGACGAGGGGGAGTTCAGGTAAAACAGCTGCTGTTCAAACTGGATACAGTCAGTGGGAGTCACTCGGCTGCGGTCACTTTAAAAGTCCTCCAAAGTCTCAATTTCTCCCATATTCAATCTCTCAGACGACGCGTTCACAGAAAAACCTGAAAGAAGATTCATCACGACAAAAGTCCAATTAGCACGAGCTGAAAAACACCGAAAGATGCAAGTTTTTTCAAAAAGCACCGCTCTCACCTAAAAGGCTGGGGTCTGCTCGCACCATCTTCTGCTTCTTTTTCTTCTTCCCTGAGGTGACGGTCTCAAACCGCTGCTGCTGCTGCTGCTGGCTGCTCAGGTGGTTCGACTGGAAGATCGATGAAGGTCCTGTTCCTCCCCACACCGAGTCCTCCAGGGACAAAAAAAAAAAAAAAAAAAAAAGACACACCAGGACTTAACACAAGTAAATAATAATAAAAAAATAAAAAAACTGTCAACTCCCTAAACAAACATAGATTTAACAATAAAGAATACTTCATATTCATAAAAATCCTCATTGCTAATTTAATTCCATTTCATAATAATCTAAGAACCCTTTGGAGTTATCTTTCACTCAACACTTGTTTTTTTTTCCCTCTTCTCGCCTGAATGCAGCTGCACCCTCAGTACTTGTAAGCAAACACCCTGAACTGTTTGATAAACCTCCAACAGCCATAACCAGTCCCACCCAGACTGCAGGGGGGGTTAACCTGTTTCACACATATCCTGTTGACGTGCAGTGGGTGGACATCTTTCTGTGCTTTACCTTCAAAAACAACAAAATGAGATGAAGACATTTAGCATAGTACACATTATTTTAGGATATAAACAGGAAACTCCTTTCCTCTCTGAACGAGATTATTTTGTTGTGGCTAAAGTGCAGCTGGAAGTGCCGACAAAGAGGAACTGTTCAGCTTCGCTGTCAAGTCACCTGACCGGCACGTTGAGCCGTCGGCTGAATCGGGCTCCAACATAAGAAAGGAGTGAAACTAGAGCGCTGCCATCTTCTTCTGACAGCCTCTCTCTGATGGTGACGCTAAATAATCCAACGTTTATATAATCTCACATTCTTCTCTACCGTCTGTGATAGCCATTGTGCCACAGTTGTGTTAACATGCAGATGTTCTCCTTTGTCGTCACTGCGCCTTTTCAGTAAAGATGCACGATATTATCAGCATGGTATCGGCCGATATCAGCGATAAAAGTTAAATATCGGACATTCCATCAAAACATCTCACTGATATAAAAGGCTTCTGTTTTAAGTTCATTTTTAATTTAAGAAACTGTCAAGTAACTCTGTTAATGCACTACTACTTATGCGACGCAGCTGCGTTGTCACTTGTGTTAGAGCGAGTGTTGCATCATTTTCAGCTCCTTTTTGGCATCTTCATTTGGTAGCAGGTCAAACTGACAAAGACCGTGCAGAATAATGAAGTATTTTAATTCCACAACAGAGAAAGCTCTGTAGTCTCTGTAAGTACGTCTAGGAGGAAAATATATCGGTATCAGTTATTGGCCAAATAAGTTTTAATATATCGGCATATCGGACATCGGACAAAAATCCAATAATGTTCATCTCTACTTTTCAGTGACGTCTGCATGGATTAAAACTGAAAACAATATTTTGACTGAATTTTTTTTTCTAGACACCCCCACACCAACTCCCCTAAAGGGATGTCTCCCCTAAAGAGATTATTTCATTCAAAGGGATTATATTTACAAGTTTCAGCTCATGTAGTCATTTAATACCATTTAATTTTCATATTTGATCATTTATTGAATTACATTTATCACAGTAAAGTTACTTCTCAGTGTGATTCTAAATATAATCAAGTTGAGCTCATCCAGACAGACACAACTCGTCTTCCTCCTTCTGCTTTTTCCTTTTCAACTTGCGGGGGTAACTGGAGGCCATGTCCAGCCATCACAGTTAGCTAGGTGGGGGACACCCTGGACAGGTCTCCATCACAGGGACACACAGAGACAAACGAGACAAACAACCATTCACTCTCTCACTCACACATAGGGACAGTTTAGAGTTACCAATGAGTCTAACGTGCATGTTTTTGGTCTGTGGGAGGAAACTGGAGTACCCGGAGAAAACCCACGCATGCACGGAGAGAACATGCAAACTCCACCCAGAAAGAGCTCTGGCCAAGATTCAACCCAGCGACCTTCTCACTGAGAGGCAACAGCTCTACCAACTGTGCCACCCCCTCAGGAAACTAAGTCCTTAAAATAAAATAAAATAAATAAATAAATAAGAGTACTCCATACAGTGACACACTAGTTGGCAAACCATTATGCAGCAATATAGTGATGACCCGAACAAGCAAAGACTTTGTAAATCATTTGACCTTCATTTGTGACATTGACTTAGAGCTGGGGTGATGAAAACTCTTTGTGGACGGATGGAGACTGTGTCCACCTTTTGTCTTGGTCTAAAATGTCCATATGTCTCAAGCAGAAAAGGCTTAAAGAGCGTCCCAAACTCAAAGGCTACATTTTGCTTTAAAAAAGGAGCTTCCAGAGAAGAAAACTGAAAACATGGCAAACCTTGAAGCTGAGAAAACTAATTCTCAACTTTTCGGTAATCTTTGATTTGTGTGTTGAATGAGAAGCGGAGGACATGAAAATGAAAGACATCAGACTCTCGCTGATAAACTAGCTTCTGACTGAAGCTACACAGAGCAACAAGAGCCTACTTGGATGTGTAATTATTGTTTTGTTCTTTACTTTGAATTAAACTGTATTTTTATCAAGGAATGTTTTCTGGTTTGATGGATTGTGATGATGTGCGTTGTTAAGAAAACATGAAAAACTGACAGAACAAGGCACAAGAAATGAATTCTACTCATGTGTCATTTCTACATTTTCTTTAATAAGTAATGTTTGTTCTAGAGATGCACGATATTATCAGCATGGTATCGGCCGATATTAGCATTAAAGTTGAATATCGGCCATTCCATCAATAACTCACCGATATAAAAGGCACTGTTTTTATGACAACCCAGTGACAAGGACGCCTGCAGCGCCAGCACAACATGACGTCATGCACCTGCCTGATCTGATCATGGCGGAGAAGAAGAAGTCAAAATGTCGGCTGTGTGGAAGTTTCTTTTTCCATTGAGGATATTAGATTCTGAAGATTTATGGACTACGTTGAGCCTCGCTGCATCGTCCCCAGTTGGAGATGTTTTTCCGACGTAGCCTTACCCAAGTTACAAGCCGTCATTTCCAACGTCATTGAGAGCTAACAGCCGATAGCACTTGGGTGAGTTTTACCACAGACAATTGGGACGTTGTGTTAGCTCTGTTAGCATGATTAGTCTTACGGCACAATGGATAGACAAAAACTTTGATCTTAAAAAGTCTGTCCGTCATGCACAAAAGTGCAGAGGATCCCACACTGCAGCTAGAAACCTGGAACAAGCCTCCACAAGTGAGACAGCATCGCAGGTGACTAATGCTAATAAATAACATTTAACACTTTTCATTTAAGTTAAAGTGCTCTGCATATCAAATGGCTGTTACTGAATATATGTCACCAGCTCTTACAGCTCAGTGTTTCCCCTACCATTATACAAGTGGGGCGCCCCGCCCCTTCAACAGAACCGATCGCCCCGTTTACCGAACCCCACCCTCAACCACCTGTCGGCACTGACGTAACGCTAAACTCGCAATGCAGGTGCACTAGCTAAAAAGCTAAAGGCAGCCTCTTCCTTCGTGCTGAACCCTTACGCTGAACGCACCCCTGCCACTCGAAAACTGTCGGTACAAACAGCGCACGGCTCAGATGTGCGTCTGTCTCTCCCTCGCACTGACACCCCCCCCCCCCCCCCCGCCAAAAAACAAACAAAAAAACTGTCAGTTCAGACAGCGCGCGGCTGAGATATGCGTCTGTCCCTCTCCTCTCACACACCCTGCTCTAATACTGTCAGTATAGACCGCACGCAGCTGTCTCTGTGTCCCCCAAAACTGTTGGTTTAAACAGTGCGCTGCGCAACTTAGGACGAGTCTCCGTTCCAATATTGTACATCCCTAGTTTGTACTGATGTGTATATTTATTGATGAGGAAAATAAGTTTCTATAAAACAAAATGTGACACATCTGAAAACCTAAGTCAATTTTGATGTTTTTCTGTAATACTGATTGTGACTGGCACTCAACTGGGACGTTTCATTTTGGCCCTTTGTATGACTGAGTGTGGTCAGGTCTCTCTTGTAAATGAGTCCTCGAGGCTCAATGAGACTAACCTGTATAAATAAAGGTTGAATGAATCCGGCTTGACCCTGTTTGGAAATTGAAACTAAAAGGTGTCACATTTTTTATGCATTTGCACAATAACTGTGGTGAAACATCTGAAGTGGTTCTGACTGTTGTACCTGCTGCTGCTGCTTGGCTAGCTGTTGGTTTGATGGTGCCGGCTTCTGTTGGTTAGCGTTCTGTTTGGCACGACGTTCTAGAAACTGCTTGGCAAAGTCCTTGGATTCAGGAGTGTCTCCCAAATAGGCCCTGACGTAGTCATGCACCTCATATGGAGAGTCCACTTCCTTCAAGAAGGATGCAAACGTAGGAACTGACAGAAGAAAATGTTGTTTTTATGAGTTTTATATTTGAGAAAAGGCTCATCGCTAGCTGTGGGTGGCTGAAAGATTTACCATCCAGATTGTTGGCTGTGTTGAGGGTGTGCAGCGTTTGCTCACACCACTGCATAAAGGTGTCCTGCTGACTCTTACTGACGCCTTGGAACAACTTTAGCAGCTTCTCTTCCTCTTCTACCTTCTTACTGCTTCGCCCACTCGAAGAGTTACTTCATGTCACAAAGCAGAAAACAAAAGCACTTCAAGATCTGCGTATTACTCACTTCCTTCACATGATAAGTCATGCTTTTCATCAGAAGCTGTGACTAAGACAATATTTTATTATAACTTCCTAAATTAATACCTGAGGTTGGCGTTTCCCTTGTTGTTCTTCTGAGAGTTTCCTTTTTTGTTCTGGGGAGGTTGTTGGACCGCCTCCTTCACGGCCTCGTCCCAGAAGCCCATGTTTGAGTTATGGGTGTCGCCCCAGATGCTGCTGGGATCTGAGCCCCAGTTCGTGCTGGTGTTCACAGACCCCCATACTGAGCTACTTAGGGATGCCTGTGAAGAGAGGCATTAACAAACGATTCAAGTTTAGAGCTAAAATTTAGTTTAATTGAAGACAAATATTAAAGTTTTTATTTTAAATTGAAGTTTTAGCTATGTATCCAATTTTAAAATGCTGCATTAGATATAAAAATTAGGACTGGAACATCAATAAAGCTCCAAAAAGAAAAACAACAACAAAACACTGACACTAAAACAAGTACTTCATTGTTTATAATGCTAGTATTATAAATCCACATGCAACCACTCAGTTGTACATTTTTATTCTGTTTTAGTGAGTTCCATACAGTTTTGGTTTGAGGTCGGGCCTGTTGGGTGGCGATGGGGTGTTGATGTTGAGGCTGCTCTTTTCGCTGCTTCATCTGCTGGGCTTCTTCCCTCTGAATCTCTAACAAAGACTTTGTAATGACTGGTTGTTTGGCCGCGTTGCCCCAACCAGACAGCTTGGCATGGGACTGCTGAGCTTGTTGCAGGGCCACCTGCTGCTGCTGCTTCAGGAGCTCTTGCTGCTGACGTCTCTGCTGCAAAGGTGAGAAAAGCATAAATATGCTAATAGGTCACGTTTTTTCCCAATAGGGAAACATGGTCAGATAACATTATAAATTAATAAACTGTGGTCTGGGGAAAAACGACTGGTAAACAGTGCAGGTTGCAACAAATACGCTGCCACATCACAGACCATCCTAACAGTCAATCTTTGGTTTGTGTTTTAAATATATTATTTGTCTCAAACAATTTTCTAGGTAAATGAAGATGACTGTTACAGAAAATTTTTGTACTTTACCTTAATAATTAACTTTAAATATATAATTCATATTATGTAAATGGTAAATGGACTGTACTTATACAGCACCTTTCTATCTTATCAAGATACTCAAAGCTCTTTACACAACAATCTGTGCCTCATTTATTCATTCATACAGCACTCTACTAGATCTCTACAAAGTTAATTGAACAAATCATTCTAAAGAGACTAATCAGTGCTTTATCACATTCATACATCAATGGGACACACATCAGAGGTAATGAGGGGTTCAATGTCTTGCCCAGGAACACTTGGGCATGTGACTGCTGGTGGATTCGAACCCCCAACTCTTGCATTGGAGGACAACTGCTCGAACTACTCAACCACAGCCACCCAATTATGTGACTGTCTTCACAGTAGAAAAAATACTGTGCTCACAGTGATTGTGAAATAAGGATGAATCATGCATCTCCTGGTTTGTGTCAGTGCGTCACATGACATGAAAATTATTGTGCAAAAACCACTGAATGTCTAATTTCTTTGTTGTGTAGCTTTGAAAATTTACAACAGCTGATACGTTCATTCAAAAGCAAAATTAAAGTTGTAGTATGTAACTTTTGTAAAAATTTTTTTTTTATAAAAGTTACTTTTTTACACATTTGTTAAAACTGTCACTATGTCATGACAGTATAAGACAGACTGTGAAAAGATTGAGCTCCAAGACTTGAGGTGTTGGTCTCGACTTGGTCTCACCCTCCCTCGGTCTTGGTCTTGACTACAACACTAGGTGCTGGTATATGGTTTATTGCAATAAACATATTTAAAGACCATTTTTGAAGACATCTTTTATTAATATACGCGTTTCTGTCCAAGTTTTATCTAGATCTCCACAATATGACAGAACCAATCAACAACCAGAGATGAAGGTGCACTGCTCCGTTCTTACCTCCTCTCGTGTCTGCAGTTCTCTCTCCTCCTCTAGTTTCTGGATCTCTGCCAGTGACAGGGCATTCTGAGTCGGGTGGCTTATAGTGTTGGTTGATTGCTGCCCCCACTTAGAAGATGATGGAAGCTGCAACGGAGGGATTAAATCTTTTGTCAACTTCTAACCCATTTAGTCCGTTTCTGATGCATTGTCGTCCCGAGCTTTTACCTTTATTTGTGCAAGCTGCTGCTGTTGCTGCTGCTGCAGCCGTCTGAGGGCCTCTAGTTGCTGCAGTCTCTGTCTCTGCAGCTCCTGTTGTCTTTGGACCTCCTGCTCTTTTCTTTTTTGCGCCTCCTGTTGCTGTGCAAGAGCAGCAGCTGCTGCAGTAGCTGCTGCAGCCGCAGCTGCTGCCTCTTCCTCCGCCCGTTTCTCCTCTTCGCGCTTCCTTAATGCTTCTAGTTCTTCCTGCTTTCTACGCTCATCTTCCTGATAAAGGAGATTTTGTTATTTATTTAGTAAAACGTTTTTGAAAAAACAACAACAATTGCATGTTGCTGAGCTTACTTGTTTACGGAGGAATTCTTCCAGTTTCTTTTTCTCTTCTTCTTCCCTCCGCCTTTCTTCTAATTTTCGGAGCGCTTCCTCCTGTGCCAGCCTCTCCTCCTCTTCTTTTTGCCTACGTTGTGCCTCCTCTAGTTCCCTTTGCCGCCTCAAAGCCTCCTCCTAAAGATTTCAAACATTGGGTAATGTGGCTTTAAATGAACAGGCAACTGAAAGTCTTCAAGCTGATATTGATAAAAAGCTCAACCTGTTTTCGACGCGCCAGCTCTTCCTCTTCCAGTCGTTTCCGCTCTTCCTCCTGTCGAGCCCTGAGAGCCTCCTCCAAGCGTTTCCGTTCTTCTTCTTCTCGTTTCGCTCTCATTTCTGCTTCACGTCTCTCCAGCTCCAACTATCAAATGATCACACAGACATTATTATCCACAGAAACATAGGATCAGTCGAAGATATTCCCACCTTGGAATTTATCACATCTTGGGTTATTGATCACATACAGAATAGATCTGATCAATCAATTCAGTTTTCAATGCCATTTCAGTCAAAACTATTACGTTTGTGGCACAATGAGGACCACAGCCGCTGCACACACTTCTCATTTTAAGTGTACTTTATTTGTAGCAACTACATAATGGGGAAAAACCAGTGAATGAGCGAGGATACTGAAAGGAGTGTCACTGGGAATTATTCTGAAATGTTTAAAGCAGGCAGTTTCAGAAGTTATTGCTCACCTTTGCAGACTTGGCCTTCTCAAACTGTTGCATCTGCTCGATGGTTGGAGCCTGCGCCACCGAGTCTATCGGCAAATCCCAGACGCTGCTGCCTTCCCATGCTGCGGGTGACAGAACAAGTTATGTGAGACAACACGGGCTTTCTTGACAATCTCACTGCAGAACATCACAGAAACTCACTGCTTGTGGCAGCTTGTTGGATGTTAGGTGTGCAGGAAGCCTGAGAGGATGGGTTCTGCATTTCCCACACAGAACCAGAGTCTGCTACAGACAGGGATCGAGTGACAGGAGGTAGAAGACTATCTGAAGCACTAAAACATCATGTGAATAAAAAAAATAAAATAAAAATACTTCAGATGCTGCAAGAAAATGTTAAAAACTGAAAACCTATGTAAACAGATTTAAAAGTAGGGGCAAGAAATACACATTTTTGAAGGATTTAATGTTGTCCACCTTATCTTCAGAGCCTGGTATTGCTGTAGAAGGTGGTTTATCTGCTGTTGGTGCTGCTGCTGCTGCTGAAGAGGAGCTGCGTTAAGAACTAAAGCTTTCTGCTGGGCCATAGCCTGGGCATATTGCTGCCTGTTGGATGAAACAAGAAAAATAAAAGTTAGTGGAAAGACGGGAAACAAGAAACTCAACGGAAAACTTACATACAGTAGAGGAAGGTTTTGATTTTTAGCAATAATTTAAAAACAAGTGTGTTTGCTTCAGTTGTGAGGTAAAAGGTTTCTCATCTGAAAGACATTTAAAGATAAAGCAAGTAAGAAACATATGTGTTGGTGATATAATTTGGAGTGTGTTCAGCTGAGTGGTCGTCAGTGAATAATTTAATCTTCAGAGCAGGAAAACACCAACAGACTGAGCACAGATGAGACCGTCATAGACCAGTTTTGACAATAATTACAGGTGGCAATAGACGATGCAAACCATAATTACCCACAGCAAATCAAACGTAAATTGAGAGCCATTATAAAACTATTTAGAGGACATGTTTGAATTTGAATGATTTTGATTTGGTTTGAAAAAGAAATGCCCTGCGTGTTTTTGTTAATGGAAACATGGGATGGTCAATGAACCTGAGAGCTAATCTGGCGCTAGTCCAAAACTGATCAAACCAGTAAAACATATAAACTGTTAGTGTGGCTCATTCTTACTCTGATCACTGTTCTGTTAAATAATTTGCCGGTGCCAATTTCAGTTTTTCTCTTTATATTTACTTTAATGCTGATTTTTTTTCCAATTTGATAAAGCTACTTTTATGTATTTATGCAAAATACAAAGTAAATTACACGTCATGTTCTGTGATTTACAAACTACAACTCAGTCATTTCTTTTAGAGAAAAAAGTACAAATTACTGTACACAGTTAGGTAACTTTTACATGGACATAAGTAACTATTTTAAACAAATTGTTTTTGCATCAAAGCCTCTTTGAAGATTTTGCAAGTACAGGTGCTTATTTGAAGAAATAAAACGACTGGCTCTAGAGGAACTGTGTAAGGTTTGTTTGGGAGAATTTTAGATGCGATGGAGGTTTACCTGAGGAGGTATTGATACTGGAGCTGCTGCAACTGGTAAAGGTTGAGGGCTGTGAGCTCCTGCTGCCTCTTTAACCTTTCTTGGTCACCCTCCGCCTGCAACACAGAGGAGGGTGGAGTCAGAACAAATCACAACTCTCTAAAAATAGAAAGAGTTAATAAAAAGGCTATATAAAACAAACACGAATGAACTCAGATTTTATCACCATCTTCCCAAGAGTTCCTTTGGCCAAAAAAGTTGGGCTACTCAAAAACAAAAACACAAACAAAAAACTTAAATCTTCACTAAGACAGAGAAACAAGATGGACAGATACCATGAGCATGAATTATTTGAAAGCTCATTACGTACTTAAAAACTGATCTATAGCACCATCTACAGGTCACTGACTAGTACTGGAGCAGACGTTGAATTTGTTTACACCAGTATGATTTTAAAGACAAATAACAAAACTTCCCTCTAAGTCTCAGACTTTAAGTAATTAGGAATTTTGAAGGGATCCTTACTTGTAGTGGTGGAGGTGCAGGGCCTGGAGTAAATGGCACCCTTCCCCAAATCTTCATCATTTCCCCCAAAGCCTGAAACACTTCATCACATCCTCTTTTGACCAACAAAGACATGGTGAAATAACCAGCCTGAAACCACTCTGACATCTCCTGATTATTGAATGGACCTTAAGGAGCAAAAGAAGTCATGGGTTCAAATGAGAAATGCATTTAAAGTAAAATTTAAACTTTAACTCTATAAAACTTGATAAACTTTCTCACCCTGTATCTCCCCCTGTGGGTCTTTGTAAAACCACTTGAGTGCTGCTTCGTGGGTTAGAGGCAGGCCTGCAGACTTAGGCTTTTCTGAAGTCTTTGCTGACAGTCTGTCATCATCCACACCACTGTCTTGGAGGTATGCTACCATCTTTTCTGCCTCCTGGTATGACAACAATATACACCCATTTAATCCTGCAGACTTTCAGCTGGTTAATCAATTAAAACTCAAATATCAAGCTACCAAACCAAAAGAGCACTTATATATGCAGTAACATTATTTATTTTATAATTTTGTTCCCTTCTAAGAGAAGTCAAAACAAAAAAGTGTTTGAAATCATCAGTACTGACATAAATGTATGCTAAAAGCCTGCATAACATACCTGCTCAAAGTGTTTTAGTCCCTCGTCTTCATCAGTGTCGTGTGGCACAGTGGTGGGCCTGCTTATAGGTGCTATTCTGCTTGATGTGAAGGGTGAGGAACTGTTCATGGCCACAGGGACTTCCATGGGCTTCTGTTGTTGTAGATGAACAGATGATGATGGAACAGAAACCTCTGCACGAAACAAAATGATAAACATGTTAGGGTTGGTAATAAAATCACTTTTCCATTAAGACTGAAGAAACAAATCCCACCTGGTAGGGTGGTGGAAACACGAGTCATAGGAAGAGACTCCAAAATGCTAGTGGACATTTGGACACGCTTGGAGACTTTGCACGACTCTGGTGGGAGCTCCAGGGGCGGCTGTCGCTCGGCTGGCCTCTCAGACACTTCTGTTCTGTGCGGATGGTTGGGGGACAAACTTTGTAGAGGGGGCTGGGATTCCAAAACTGCTGAAGCAACAGGTGGAACGACAGCTGCAGCCTCTTCTGAGGCTCTTGCATACTCTGAAACAAATAAGAAGTATGAATGTGGATTACGTTAATTAATTTCACTATTTAAATATTTAGTTTTAGTTAGGCTAAGTGGAATGGATGATCAGTGTCTCCAAAATACTGTTGATTTTTCTGATGCATGTTCAATAATCCAGGTAGAAAAATCTAAAAAAAAAAAAGTTAAATCTGGTCCTCTGGATGTTGATTTTTCCTTTTTTAAAACCAAAGTTAAAAATCATGTTATAAAATCACCATCACCAGGTCTCTTTTCCTAATGATTGATGAATGGAGATCATCTGTAGCTGGTGCGTCTTGCACTGTTCAGTCTTTTCTCTAACAAACAATGATTTGAGCTTGGTGTGAATGAAGTTTCAATTTAAATCCTATTTGACTACACAAGGGACAAAACAGAGACTAATGTTCATGTAAGAGCTTACAGTTAATAAAACTTACAAGATTTTAAACAACACTACAGTACTCTACTTCACAATAATAATGATCTCCCAGTTCCACAATGTGTTGCAAACACTTCAAAAGCAAGTTTAAACCAGAAGCCACAAGTACAATCACACAAATGGATGCTTACAGCAACTCCACTGTTGCTGCCCTGAATAAAACCAACTTTAATTAGTTTTAAAATCCTCCAGCACAAAACCATTTACTTTCACTTTGAGTAATTTTAGAGAAGAAAACTTTTATAATGTTGCACACCAGTGCAACTCAGAAAAATAGTTTCTTATTAATATTTAACTGTTATAAATTCTATAAAGTACCAGGAGTGAAAATCAGTGTTTTCGTGTTTGTAAAGAGGTAAAGGTCTACTCATTTTTACACGAAAAGTTCAAGTAAATGAGCTTGTATTCAACGCTTTTAAGACCTTTTTAATCATTTGTACAAGTTTGAAAAATATCCGACGTTCAGTAATGATGCGTAATTGTACACAGTATTGTTAATGGTATTGAATAGTGTTTTCTTTGTCATCCAGCTCAAATGACCACAATCCTAACACACATGCATTCATTTAAAAAGAAGAAGAAAAAAGAATAAGTGCCGTCAAAATGACTGACCTTTTCTGTCAGCTTCTCTTTTGGCCTCTTTTTCTGTCTCTTTGGTCTCCCTTGGCGATGTGTCCAGCTCCTCTTCACACTCTTCCATGGGCCTGAAGTCGAGCTCTGCTTCTTCTGGAATTGGCTCCTTTGATGCTTTCTGAAAGCAAAAGTACACAATAGGAGAAAATTTGTTACAAGTGCCTTCCCAGAAATCTCTATGCCTTTTGTAATCTGTCAGTCACTATGTAATGAAGCTTTATGTGTTCAGGCCAATGGACTGAGAGCATGACATTTATTTAAATATTTATATTTGTTAAAGTCCATTACCTTTAAAGAGAGAAAAGCTCCTGAGGAGTCAAAGGTGCCCGCCTCTTCGTCTGCGTCCTCCAGACACCACTCTGGTAAGCTGTCATCATCCAGACTGCCGCTCCCCGACCTCTGCCTCCTGTAGCCGCGCTCATCTTCTCTTGCATCAAAGGGGAAACGCCGACGTTGGTCTGGGTATTCTCGCCACCCTGCTGAGCGAGGCACATCTGGATAAAGACGGTACAAAAAATAAATAAATCACAAAATCATTAATCACTTGTGATAAACACAGTGAACAAACACATTGCAGAGAACTTAAACCAGTTTGGAACGGTCCTGAACACCAGTCCACAGAAGCCAAAGGGCTGCAGGTCACAGGAAACCAACACAGGTTTCTCATAAAGGCCACCACTTGTTAGCGTTCTTTGAGCAGAACACTGGAGTGTTCAACAATAGTAGGAAGGCTGTTTTAAATATACCTGCAAACTCACCAAGGTGACAAACCTAGCACTTGTAGTAGTGGGGGAGGGATTTGTGATTTTTTTAACATGTAAATTAAGCATTCTGGTATACTCTAAGAAGAAAATTATGGGAAAAGACAACATGCTTTAAGTAAAGACATTTATTAACACACCCTTATTTAATTAGGACATACATAGGAGAGATGGCTAATCAACCAAAAAAATAAACAAGCAACAGCAGCAGCAAGCCAACCAGAGAAACAAAATATTTGCAGAGCCTTTTGCTAATAGCAAAAACTAAGTTCTTAATTTTTTGGGGCCTGGGCAAGCCTGCTTGGCCATGTGCCTCTTAATGCCCATTGGAAAGACTCTGTTATTGTTCCAGTCTCAAAAACCAAGTCTGCTCAGTCCCTGAACGACTTCAGGCCTGTTGCTCTGACTCCATTAGTAATGAAGTCATTTGAAAAACTGGTCTGAAAGACCCTCTTGTCAAAAGCTGAAGATCATTTGGATCCACTTCAGTTTGCTTATCGTTCATGTAGGAGTGGCGGACACAACAGGAACTCTTAAATTTAAGATTTTAGGACAACTTGAAGGTACAAAAACATATGTAAGATTGCTTTTTATTGACTTTTCATCAGCTTTTATTTGCATTTAACCCCACATTTTAGTAAAGAAAATACAATGTCTGTAGGTCTCGACTCTGGCTTTATATGTTGGCTTGTGGACGTTTTAACTGTTTGGTCTCAGCGGGCAAGGGTCAACAAGGTTCTCTCTGATGTCCTTCTGTCCTCTACTGGCTCCTCTCAGGGCTGCGTTCTTTTGGCGTTTTTATTTATTTTATATACAAACGATTGTTGCAGCCATTTCCCATAGTGTCACATTTTAAAGCTTGCTGATCTGTCATCCTGTTCCTTCTCAGTAGTGATGACCCAAACCCCGGGTCTGTGGTCGGGGACTTCACTGAATTGTGCAAGTCTTCCTTTTTAAAGTTAAATGTTTCTAAGACAAAGGAGACGGTCTTTGATTTTAGTAAAGATTCTTTAGTTGCCACTCCTGTGGTCATTAACGGTGAGGCTGTCAAGGTGGTGCAACAAAACTGTACTTGATGACAAACTGACCTCTGACCCCCATGTGAACTGTCTTTGTAAGAAGACCCACCAAAGAATGTATTTTTATTGGAAGCTCTGTGGTTTTAATGTTGATTTTACTTTTATGTGAATGTTTTATTCATGTTTTATCAAGTCTCTTAACTTTCACCTTCATCTGTTGGTTTGGACTTTTGTCATGCAAAAAAAGGAACAAACTCTCGGGGATTGTCAGGATGTGCAGCAAAACTGCTGGTATAGCCCTACAGAACCTCAATGACCTACACAGGGCGAGGTCAGTGAACAAGGCCAGGCTGATTCTGGCAGATCCTGATCACCCACTCCATGGTGAATTCAGGTTGCTTCCATCTGGACGCAGGTATCTGCTGCCCAGTTGTAAAACCAACAGATGATGATTTCATGTGTTATTTTAATGTCTCAATGTCTTGTCTAGTATAGATGTTTTGTGTGAATACTGACTGTGAAACAAATTGACCCTTCCTACTGTCGCCTTCATGCTTGCTCAAGATGAGAGTTCTACGATGGAAGTTAAACTAAAAGCAGTCTGCTCCTCGGATAGTGTTAACTTATTTTTTACATACATGAATGTTTCTGTTCAGTGCCCTGAGATGACTTCTGTTGTGACTCGGCGCTACATAAATAAACTGAACTGAATATAACACCATCAAGTTGACTTAAATCTTGGTGTATGTGGCAGACAGCTACATTGTTCAAATGTTGACGTAGCGCTAAGCTAGCGGTGCGCAACACAGAATAGATGAAAAGCTAAGATGCTATCAACATAACGCTCAGCTTCTCTCACGCATCCTAACCACCACCCCACCACCCACCACCCCAGGTCGACAAATGCCGGCTCTAACGTAGGGCTACGTAAGCCCAGTCAATGGGACATGCTTGCAGGTATGTTTAAAGCCAATTTAAAATGCTTTAAATGACAGTAAAAATAAAGAAGCCAGTAGCTGCTTACATGTTGTAACACAAGTGCACATTTTAGTTAAATGTGGAACATATCAGAACACACTATAACACATTTATCAAAGAGGATTCCTCTGAGATAAATGTGTAGGTAGGGAGGTTTCTGGAGGGCCCACCTGGGCTCGGGGGGCACCACCGGTCATTGTCCCATCGAAAACCTGCCAGGTGCCAGCCCCCCTGATCATCCTCACCGTTCTGATCATCACGAGAAGTACGCCAGTTCCCACTCTCTGACCGCGTAAAGTCGTGCTTCCTTGGCAGTCCTGTCCCGCCGTCCTCATACGGAGCCCGAACTGCAAAAATTCCAGGAAGGTGAAGAAAATTCCATTAGGATTACAACAACTAAAAAAATGTACATTTCATTTTACAAAACGAGTACGGTAATACAAATAGCCTAATTTTCTCCTAGTTAAGAAACTTGAATTTTGTCAGGCAACTTTTTTCTTTTTTTACCTGAATGAGCAAACTCACTGTGATTCATTTGAAAATGTCCTGGAGCAACTTCTACAACAGTGGAAGAGAGCACAAAGTAGGTAAGCCAGTGGATTTACAACACACAAACAAAACATCTAATTGGTAAAATATCGGTTATACGAGCAACTCGTGTGACACCAACCAGGATCTTTTCGACCAGGCTTTTCAAATCGTCTCTCTGCCCTGATGAGGGAAATAAAAACAAATGTAAACACATTAAAACAGGAGTAAAACATAAATTAAAAATTTGCCAAGGTTTAGTTTTACCACAAATACGCTATTATTCAAATACCTTTCTTCCCAGCTTTGAGAGCGATGCATTTCTCTCCCTCCACGACCAAAACCTTCCACATCATCAAAACTTCTTTGGTAAAACCCTCCATCGCCTCTTCCTCGACCTGAAATCAAAAGGACACACATATCACACAATGAAATTCAGAACTTTCCTTTATGAATTTATCTTTGGATAGCTAGTTTAGTGTTGAATAAAATAGTAGAGATATGCTCCACTGGATAATCAATCAACCTTTATTTATACAGGTAAATCCCATTGAGCCTCGAGGACTCATTTACAAGAGAGACCTGATTTCAACAAAGAAAGATGACAACAATGGACAACAGCAACAACAATAAGCAGTTATAAAAACTCATACTACAGTTTTTTTGTTGTTGTTGTTGTTGTTTTTTTTTTTTTTTTTCCCATTTGTTTACATATTCTTTACCAAATGTACAGAATGAATGGAAAACCCATTATGTTTCCCTAGCATTTGCTGAATCCTAACACTGTCCTGTCCCCTTTTCTTGTATACACAGAGTTCAATAAACCAGATTGTGAAGCTTTTGTTTTAGGGGTTTATTTTCTTCTGTTAGTGAGTTTATATTTAAAGTTACAGCTCTTGCGTCTCATCTGCTGCAGCAGCATAAGGAAACAACTTGTCTTTTACCTCACAAGTGTTATCTGAATTTTGCAGACACTTAATTTTAAAATTAAACACGGTCAAAACTATTGCTTCTTGCTAGGGCTGGGCAATATGGACCAAAATTGATATCTCGATATTTTAAGGTAAGTGGCGATATACGATATATATCTGGATATTTTTTCTTTCCATAAAGTAGTAACAAAAATATATTTCTGAGTCAAAGCTTTGTCCCAATTGTCACACAGCTTAAAGCTGTAACTGTGCAAAATAAATGTATCAAAAATAAAAAATATTTTTTTCCTGCATAACAAAACCAAACACACAGCTGTGCACTTAAAATTTAAACATAACACATACACAGCAAACATAATGAAAGGCTGACTTGCTCTTTAAAAAGTCTGATTTTAATGAAGTACATTCATTCAACTTTTATTAACAAAACTGTTAGAAAGCCTACATTGTTGTGTAGTTGGCTTGTTTACAGAGCTCGGTTGTTTGATTATGACTCGTTTCTTTCTGAATTTAAAAGTTCCTATGCTCATGAATGCACCGCTCTGTGTAAACAAAGTTCCGAGCTGCGTGTCCGTCGGAGTTTTTTCCTCTCCCGACACAAGATGGAGCCTTGCAGCTTTGTTGAAGCAGCCATCATCATTTTTCACACCTTACCAGAAATTTAAAGTGGTTCTCCCACTGTGAGTCAACAAAGACCTATCTGCATAAGCTTCTTCAGCTAAAGCAAGCAGCCGGGGAGGGGCAGGTTTGTCAGTGAGGGAGAGAGGTGGTGTGAAAGGCTGCAGCCTGCAGACTAGGAGGAAAAACTGGCAGATTTAACTTTATTCAGAGTATAAGACTATCATTTTATATCAATATATTCTCATTTTATATTGTGTTTTAAATCATCTCGATATTTCATCACCCAGCCCTACTTCTTGCTTGAGTTTTTTTCTTTTTTTTTTGTCTTGTCAGTATTGTCAGGTAGTGTAGTGCATAAAAAACAAAATGTAGCCCAGTTATGAAGGATCAGTGCTTTCCCTACCATTATTCAAGCAGGGCGCCTCGCTCTGTCAACAGAACAGAGCGCCCTGCCCATTGAACTGACAACTGCCGGCATTGACATAGCGCTAAGCTAGCGGGGCGTAATAAAGGCGCACTAGCTAAAAAGCTATAGGAAATTAGCTCTGTTTCCCTCACGCTGAGCCGTCTCCACCATCCCCCACAAAAACTCAGTACAAGCAGGGCGCAACACAGACGTGTCTCCATTAGAGATGCACCGATCCATTACCAATATCGGTTATCAGTCCCGATATTGAAAAAACTTCTGGATCGGGTATCGGTGACAATGTGACCGATCCATGACTGGGCAGATTTATTCACTCTAATTCTATGCTTTGTGCTCTGAGTGACGTCACGCGCTAGCGAACTCGCTGCGCAGATTCTTTTGAAAATGGAGCGAGCGAAAAGATCAGCCATCTGGAACAATATCACACTACCTCAGCCAACACATTCGACAGCTACGTGCAATATGTGCGTATCGACGGTTCCAAGAGGTGGCAATAAAACTTCCAGCTATAACACTACCAACTTAATCAAGCATCTGTATCAAATCGGTATCGGATCGGCCAACACCAAACCTCAGACATCAGTATCGGAAGGGGAAAAAGTGGATCGTGCATCCCTAGTCTCCATCTACCCCTGTCACTTGACAAAAATCACAGAAGATCTGAGAACCATGCCAAGGCAAGTAAACTAGGGGAAACACTGAGGATGCTGCAGTTTTGGTAGCTCTTATCATTTCATATGAATTAAACTTATTGGTATATCCACCACCCCCAAACACACAAACACACATATGCCAAAAAACAACAACAACAGGAACACAGCCTTGCACACAGAGGGAAAGACTGAGAGTGATCTCCAGGATTAAAGGCAGCTTGATCTACAGTTTTGCTGTAAATTATTAGTTTCTGCACCAGTTTTTATTATGTGAATTATATAAAATATTACCTGAAATGTGTGCAAAGCCTTTTCACAATATAAATATTAAACGAGTGAGGGTTAATGAATTATGTATAACGACATTGTCCTGAGACACAAGCCCTGTTGATTGTGTCAAAAATCATTGTTTTGGGAAGATAACTTTAGGGAAGATCAGTTACGAGTGTCAGCAGCTGAGATTTGAGTGCACAAGTAAGCACAAAGCCTACAGAGTATTACTGTTACACCCCCAGTCTCAAACTGTGGGAGAAATGGTGGGCTGTTCAAAGGCATCTCAACTATCTGCAGTTGTAGGAGCCACTCCGAAGCCACAAGTATAAAAGTTAAAACAAATGCCAATTTAAAATAATAAACTTGTGATTTTGATTCCACATCTTCAATTTGCTCTTACAACCACATTAAACAACTGGAGTGAAATGTGACACTTATGTGCGCAATTTCAGCAGGATTCTTACCTCTACCTCTTGAGGTACTTCGGCCTCTTGGTGCTCCAACTATTGGGCCACCTCCCCGCCGAAGTACAGCTGCGCTGTTTACAGACATGGAAAAGTTTCTCTGCAGACACAAATGGGGAGGGGAGCAAAGGGGACAAATACTCAGCTCGGTGCTCTGTTCTTTGCTCATGATCTTTATTTGGACATCTTGTAACAGTCTTGAACATTAAAATAAACTAGAGAAATTGCATTTCCTGTGAAAACGCAGTGTCAATGCAGACTGCTAAATGATTTTGCTGAAAGCTGATTAAACAAATAGTTTACTTTAAATACACCAATAGCTACAAATTTGAAAGATGAACCTGCAAGAAGAACAAAACAAATAAAAATACAAATGCAGAAAATGCTTGAAATTAGGTTTAAGAAAAGCTCAAATGTACAGAAAAGCAGTAATTAGCAACAAAAAAAAAAACGGAAAAAAAAAAAGCTAAAAGTAATGTGAATAACAGCACAAGTAGATAAAATGTTAGTAATAATAAATAAATTGCTATCTAATAGCCAGAAGTAGCAAATCCTAAGCAAATAGCAGCAAAAAAACTAGCTTGGATCTAGAAGTAGCAAAATGGTAAAGAAATAAAGAGAAACAAAATGCTAGCAAAAAGCAAGAAAAAGCTAACCAAGAGCTAAAAGTAGCAAAACTGTGGTAAATCCAATGTAACAATTAAATTTAATCATAAAATCCATAGAAAGCATTGTTGACCGATGAGGTGTTCAGAAAAAAGTTTGAGATTTCTGTGTGAAAGAGTTCCCAACGTAGAGCTGTTTAAAGAAAGGAGTGACATTCAACCTTGACCTCATGACCTTAAAAATCAATAGGGATCTTTGTTGACCCACATGGTGTCCAGCTGTGAAGTTTAACATTTCTTTAACGGTTAACAAATCAGAACTATTTTAAAGTAAGGCGTGACTTTTGACCTTGATCCTTGACCCAGTGTCCTTGAAATCAATAGTAAAATTTGTTGACCAAGAAGGTGTCTATGTTAAATAGTTATCAAATTAAAGTGATATAAAGAAAGGGGTGACCCTAGACCCTAACCTTTGACCCCAAGACCCTAAAATTGAAAAGCATCATTGCTCACCTATGAGGTATCCAGCCGTAAATGTTTGACATTCCTACGTTACATGGTTGCAGAGTTACAGCTTGGACAAAACATTGTTCATAGGCTGATGGACAAGCGTGGGTTATCTTTGGCAGCCATGAATGCTGCTTAACAGCATTCACGCTTTTGTGATACAACAAGTTTTGGCCAATTTATGTTGGATATTTACATTTTAATTTTCCAGTTAGAATAACATGACATTCTAAAAAGTGCTCCAACCTGTTCCTCCTCTGTAAAAGACACAAGCGCCAGAGGTGGTAAGGGTTCCTCTTGCAGTATGGACAGGAACTCCTTATCTTGTAGGTCTATAGGGATCTGGAAGAGAAAATACACATTTATTTTCATTTATTAATGCTTTAAAAAATGAATTATGACCAAATATATATATATATATATATATATATATATATATATATATATAT